AGGTTTGCAAGATGGAACACAGGGATCCAAGGCACAAGATTCCCACCGAGCTGATGGCACCCTTCACCCACGTTCACCTGCAGCCCCTGCACCAGCAGTGTCCCCAGCACGACCACTCCGTCCCCAGCAGGGCTCGCCACGCGGATGCAGCTCTGTTGCTCCAGCTCGGAGCTCACATGATCCCACCTCCCTGCGCTCCCTCATGGAGCACGGGCCCGAGTGTCCTCCTCTCCTCCATGCAGATCCCCAAGAGCGTCTGTCCTGCCACCCAGCCCCGTACCTCTCGCGCGGGGCGCTGGGGATGTGGTCGTACTTCATGTGGACCCATTGCACGTAGCCGCAGTAAGCGCCAAAGGCCAGAAGCAGCACTGCCAGGAGCAGGAGGACAAGCGTGCCCAGGGCCCCCGGCACCTCCATGGCCTCCGGGAGTCGGGTCCAGCTGGGCTGGTCGGTCGCTCTGGGCTGGATGAACTCCAACAGCTGCCTGGCTGGATGAGATCTAGCTGTGGGAGGAAGCTGGGAATGAAGCCAGGCAGAGTTTAAAGAGGCAGCACACGCGGCAGAGCGAGCCGAGACGCAGGGCGGGCAGGGAGCCGGGCCTCCCTCACCCGGGGTCCCTGGCCTGCTCTGCCCTGCCTGCACACCATCCTCAGCACATTCCTGGGCGCTTCCTGAAAACTCCATCTTGTCATAGGCCTCCCTCCCAGCAACACCCATATGGCGATACCTCTCCTCTGCAGGAGAGCGGGATGTATCTCATGGCACTCTGTTTCTGCCCATCTGATGCATCAGTCATGCACCAGGCTGCTCAGTTTGCTCATTTTGCCATTTAGATGTGAGGAAGCCTGCAAGTTTTCATGTTTTTCTTGGGTCTCTTCTGCTTGGTTTTGAGCCTAGCAGATCAGAGGCAGCAGAGGTCTGCTATCAAAACATCAATGGCCCTGCTGGGTTAAGGTGAGGGGTTGTTATCTTTAGTTTATTTTGATTTCAAAAGGGCAAATCATTTTGAATGAGCAGAACAAATACAACCCGGTCTTTTCATCATCCAGACTCCAACCTGTGCCCAGTGTGGCCCCACTCTTGTGGACTTGCATTGTGTAGCACAAATGATGAGTTTGTTGGTACTGCTGTGTTATGTGAGACCCCTGAGAAATGCTCACTGAGAAATGCCACTTGGTACTGGTGCAAAACGTTAGAAACCACAATCATTGGTTGTCAGTAGATGACAGAGCAAAAGTTCATTGTGTTATTTAAGTATTACTTAGGTTACTGCTAAATTTAATTTTAACATTCATTTTCTTTTGTTTGAAATAATTGCAACAATTGAATGATTTTTCACTGTCTTTTAGGTATTAGGTCTCAACACCAGCTTTGACTTAGCGTGAATTTTTTTTATGTGAAAATTGCTTTATCAAGCACCAACAGTATTATGTAACTGCTATTTACCTTAACTAAAAATGATTTTTTTTTTCTTTCTGTTAAGCTTGAGGTTTTATAATCTCTTGTTTTCAGAAGAAAAAAAAAAGCTAACATTACTTCCCATTTTGTTGGACAATATGTAACATGATCTCCTGATATGAATTGCAATCAGTGGGAAAGCAAAAATAGTATCACCCAGAAAAACTGCTTAAAATATGAAGCTAATCAATGTCTTTAAAGCCACTCAATGAACTTCACGATGCAAGGTTGATTTTCTCAGTTTCATCAACCTTTTTTTCCTCCAGAATTATTCAGTAATATATTGTAACTCTCTCTAATGTATTCACTCATTTGAAATCACTCTCAGAATAATTCCTGTGGAAAATTTCTGCTTTGGCTTTGTTTGTGAGCAGCTCACAGGGAGTATTTAATATGTGGTAAAATATTTGACATTTTGTACATTTTGATGGTATAGAGAGTCCATGTAATATCTTTCTGATCCCTGATTAGAATGGACAGGCTCTCAGAATGAAGCTTCTCATGCAAATGTAATTATCAGTCAAAAACTCCCCTTTCATAAGTATTCAGTCTGGATAGATTGGAGATTATAATTCTGGCTTTAAGGATAAGCTTTAATAAAAAAGTTCTGTTTGTATTCTAACATGCTTCTATGCCCTTGACTGAAGGACGTGGTACAAAGTCACTGTTGTATTTATTATCTAGCTATCTGGGACCTATACATTGCACTAACAATCATTGGAGATTTGGTCTGCTGAACTTCCCTGCCTGTTGCTTTTCTGCCAAGGGCTGAACTGCCATTGCATGGACATTTCGCCAACTTGCACATTCCCAGAAGTACAAAGAGCAAGAGACACTTGGGAACAGAACAGAAGAGGAGAGACACAGCAACTATTAACTGATGCAAAGCTACAAGGTGAATTTGAAAGATGCATATGACATAGGATTATTCAAAACTCCGCTTTTTCTTGTCTTTTCATAGTCATTAGTATTGAAAATATTCATTCCTTTCTCTTGAGACGTCCAAAATCATTCAGTCTGTATGTGAGGAAAGTAGGTAGAAGATATGACATAGGCATCTCCTGTATTTGGAAATGACTTCCCAGCTCTGCAGCATGTGATTACTCAGGGGGCTGGGTATCTTGGGGCAGTTGTGGGTTTGACAATAAAATTCATTGCTAAATAAAAAGCTCTTAATGTTATTGTGAAGTAGCTCCATCTGTTGTATGCTACTGATTAACTGCACACGGCAATTAAATTAGCAACTCTGTTGAAGTTACAGGCTAAAACCTCACACCCCTAAAGGCCCATATGGAATTAATAGGGTATGGGGTTACCACCAGCCATCTCACCCTTTGCAAATGGAGGCACAAATTTAGGGGCTGATTTTACCAGGTACATCCTCTCCCATTCAGAAATATTGCCCAGGTGGACTCTGAGGACCAGCTGTTGTTTAGGGACTTCACTCTTTCTGTCCAGCTCTGGCAGCTCTGCCACACGCTGGGAAATCCCACACATGGGCATTCCCTGCACCCCATCAGTTAAGACCTCGAGATCTAATGATGTCCAAGATATGGCTGAGCTACGCAGGCTTTCTACCCATTCACAATCAGCACCCAGACACTATGCAGTGTCTGAGCACACATCAGGATCTGAAAAATCCCAGCCAGAACCACCACTGTTCTATATATGCTTTTGGATTATTATTTTACACAATCATCAACAAGAAAAGTATCAAATTATAATGAATACAGGGCTCTTCATGGCATACAGCTAGTAAACATACATCAGCTGTTGAGGAAATGGTTAGGTGTTTGCTAGCAATGGTTTGCAGCCCTGCTGACTATGGGAACATTCAAATAGCATATGATAAATCTTTAAAAATACATACAGTTTCCAATACTTTTAATATTTTTAATATGATGATTATGTAGACATCATGCAAGAATGCAGATTTTTGTACAGCAGCTGTAAAAAATCCAAACATTCTGTTTAAGTGAAGACAAAAAGTTTTCAGTGTGCCTTTATACAGCACATCTTCTCTCCTGATCTGTTTGACGGCTTCAGTCTTGCATAGCCAGTATTTTGTGGCATATAATCAGCTCTTTTTAACTGTGCAAAAGATCAAGTTCTCTGCTCCAAGGACTGGAAAATTCAGGACATACATAAACTTATTCTGGCAAGTTTTCTTACTATGTGATTGCAAAATCAAACCACTCAGCTTACCATAGAATCTAAAATATTATAAGAGTTTAGAGAGATTAATATTCTCTGTATCATTCAACATGGAATTAACACCTCACAAGACTAGCAGACACTTATCCAGCTCAGTGGAACACTGTGCAAAGAATATAAGCAGATTTCAAAATATTCATTGAAATATACCTCCCAAACCCATCTTGCTATTCTGATGGCCAAGTAATTACATGTGATCTCCTTGTTCCTACTATTATTATGACAGCTGGTGTGAAAAGCACTGAAGCAGATGAACCTATTTACAGTAAGATCATACCGAATATTCTACAAAATACGAGAGAGCTTAAACCACCTCCCCTGGAACAACTAGTGATTGCTTTGCTATTACTCATCATCCGCAATATTCAAGAAGATGTTTGCTGCTATGTCCTTACAGTTCTATTCATTCATACACCATACTGAACAGAAAAAAAGAAAAAAAAAAGAGATGAATATTTTAAATATTTAGTTATTTTTATTACAAAAGACAAATTGCAGTATTATAAATAATACTGCAAAATAGGGACTTAAATTGTGTTACCAGCACAATTACAAGAGATGATCTTGTTTTAAATCCAGCTATTAACAATGTTACTTCTATTTCAAAATAATTATATATTTTTTCTCAGCATATGTGTGTATATGTATATATATTTATATATGTATATGAATATACAGTGTAAAGCAGTAGACCAAATTCTACTGTTATTTGTAACAGTGTGAATTATGATCAAGTCCATTCAACCCAAGGCTCCTCAGGTGTGTTATAGAGTTTCTGGAAACAGAAAACCACCCACTATTTCAGCCAGATTATCAGGAAAAAAAGAAAAGTGGCACCAAGTTAGTAACAAAATTTGACCTTCCATTTGACACTGGGACAACTACGTCACCAAGTGTCACCTCCCTCAGTCACAGAACCTGCCAGCGAGCATCAGAGTTATCTTCAAGTGCTGACACAGAAGGAAGCCCTTGACAAGTGAGGACTCCAGCTTGGTCTGGCACTGGGCACATGGCTGTGTCATGTTCACCGGCACCTCACAGCCCGCACAGCACATCACCGAGATTCAAAAAAAAAAAAAAAAAAAAATCCTAGATCTTTCTTCTGTGACAGGGGTTTCCAGGTAGTTTCCTCTCCCTCAGCTCTTCCCAAGCAAAGCCTGGGACAATGCAATGGTTAGGCCAAAAACATGCTGGGGGCTGCTCAAAGGATTTAAACAGCACAGGTCAGTTATTGTTAATACCAGGAAATGTTTCCATGTGTTTTCCTAGTTCATTTAGTAGGTCAGATGTAGCCAAAGGGAATCTTCGGAAATACTCCCACATGTGTGCATCCAATCTTTCCTGGGGTCCCAGATTCATATGCTTGTCTACTTTCTCAATGCAAAAGTTTTGTTTGTTCGTTTTGTGAACACTTTTACCTCCTAAGTGCTACCTTTTCTCTGACTGCCTGCTCTAACTTTCTGACATGCCAGTTATTCCTGTTCATGGCTAGAGGGAGCCCTGCCTGCCCAGGTGATAAACTCAATCTACTAACAGCTGTCCCAGAGCATATGGTTGTTTAACTGCTTGTAAGTAAAACTGCTCCTGTACAGGCGGCAGGGTGCAACACACAGTGCCTGGCCTCCCTGCACGCCAAAACCATTTCACATGGTGACGTGTTGCCAGCGTTGCAGCAGGTCGAGGGAGGGGATCCTGCCCCTCTACTCAGCTCCGGCATGACCGCACCTGGAGTACTCTGTGCAGTTCTGGGCTCCCCAGTACAAGAAGGACATTGAGAGAGGGTCCAGCGGAGAGCCACGAAGATGATTAAGGGACTGGAGCATTTGTCATACGAAGAAAGACTAAGCGAGCTGGGCCTGTTTAGTCTGGAGAAGAGAAGGCTGAGAGGAGATTTGATCAATATGTTCAAGTATCTGAGGGGTGATTGTAGGGAGGATGGGGCCAGGCTCTTCGCTGTGGTGGCCGGTGACAGGATGAGGGGTAACGGGTGTAAGTTGAAACACAGGAAGTTCCACCTCCATATGAGGAAGAACTTCTTTACTGCGAGGGTGACAGAGCCCTGGCACAGGCTGCCCAGAGAGGCTGTGGAGTCTCCTTCTCTGGAGATCTTCCAAACCTGCCTGGATGCCACCCTGTGCCACATGCTCTAGGTATTCCTGATGGAGTAGGGGAGTTGGACTAGATGATCTCTAGAGGTCCTTTCCAACCCTAAGCATTCTGTGATTCTGTGATACACTCTCCAAACTCTCCAAAACTCCTTTCATACTGCGTGAAAGCCAATAAACAGGAATAACATAGCTGTTCCTTACAGCTTGTAGTTAAGACAGGAGGTGATAATAATCAGACATGCTGTGGGGATGCACCTCAGGTGCAGATCCCGAGCCCAGCCTTCAAGGGACAGCCTGCCAGCTTAATCACCTGAACACCCTTGGGGTTTCCTTCTGCCTGGCTGTGCCAAAGAAGGTCTGCGAGAGCAGTGCTGGTCATCGGCACCTTACAAGGCCATTGGACCCACCACAGCCAAGCTCGAAGCGTGCTGTGGTGCTGTTGTCTCGCATTCACATTTTTTGCAGTAAGTTTCACTGCTTGGCTACAGGAGTCAGCTGCACCTTTGAAAAACAAGATCTTTGGTGGATTCAGCTGTTTCTTACCCAGCACTGCCACAGGCAGATGTTTGCAGTGACATCTCCCTTGAGTTGGTTGTCATCCAGCTCATACGTAACTGAGCTGCAAGACTGGGGGAGGCAAGTGGACCCTCCTCTGTCATTAAAACTTTCCAGCATACAGCGGGCAAGTGAAGAAGGTCCAGGAGCTTAGCAGTCATCATGGGCTACGCCCCTGAAGAATAAGCTATTCAATGTCAATGCTTACAACAGCTAAACACTGGACATCTCCCTTAACAACAGCATCTCTATTTCAATTGTCATTGTTAAAGAATGATTGCAATTTTCCATCTTAACTGCTTTCCTGGCTATGTTAAAACACTGCCCTAGGCAGTGGGATGGCTGCACTTGTGCCCCACAGTAAAGCCTAGACACAAAACTCCTCAGGGAGGTCATGCAAAAAGGAGCAAAATACCGACATGCATAGAGTAGGCTTGGAGTCTTACTAGTTTAACAGAAAAACTATAAATTCCTCAAATATAAATTTGGAACTCAGTTATTAGTTATTGAAGGGTAACTAAGGAGGGTTCTGCTGTGCCCAAGTAATCTGTGGGGAACTTTGTCTCTCCGATCCTTTGGAAAGAGCACAGTAAGCCTATTAACATTCAAACTTTTGCCTAGAGATGCGTCTATACTGCAGAATGCAGAGATGCTCAGGCTGCCTGTGGGCACCAGAATGTGAGCAAGTGAAAGAAAACTGAGCTCTTCGTATAGCTAATCTACCTTGGAGACGAAGAAGAGATATTTGCAAGTCTCTGTCTTTCTCTACCAATAAATATTTCCTCTGATATTTATGTGGCACCCCCATAACACCCTCACTATACACCCAGGGCGCACAGCTCTGTATTTGCAAAGCCAGCTGCATCTCTGCTGCCAGCAGTTGATCCTGGTGGATTGGTTTCCATATGCTTTAATCTGTCAACAGAGCCTATGCCATTAAGTGATCGTCAGCTGTGGGCTGGTGGCAGCCAAAACCAGCAGCAGGCAAGAACTAGGTGGCCTTTGCTGCTGCTCAGGAGGTTCCAATGGGCTAACGTGGGAGAAGAGTAACTAATAGTTGGATCACAAAAAGAATATATAAGAACCTGGAAAGTGATGGTGAATATCAAGTATATTTCCTCAATATCAAAAAGAAATATTTAATGGTTATACCAGAAAGTCCAGTCCAGTCCACTATTTAAAACAAATTCATTTACCATTTTGTATTTAAGAGGACATCATCAAATTGAAATTGTAAATTAAAATAAATACCCAAATTAAGATCTTGAGATACCGAGCCCTGCTTATGAGTTTTGCTGTATGCACTATTCATTTTACGTTTGCTCTCTCTTGTCTTTCTCATGGTTCTTGTGCAAGCAGTATCTTTATCACATTAGAAAAACTAACAGGTAAAATGTTGCCCATGGTAGTAAGACCCCAAAAGAGGGAAACATCTGTATCCAATTATTAGTGAGGTGAAAAACACATTTCAGACAAAATGAGATTTTTTAAGCTCTCCTTTAAAAACGTTATTGCAGGATTTTTACTCCAATACATCGAGTCTGGTCACACCTTTAAAATTTGGATGGAAAAGAGTGTGGCTGCACAATGCCAGAGAAAGCAGAGAAATAGGCACAAAGTGTTTTCAAGGTTACAACGGATTATGGTTCTGTGCATGTGCAAAGAGGTCTTATTTTTCATTTAAAATAGTGTAAACAGCAGAAATGCTTCCCAGGCAGTTGTCTGTGATTTTTTTTCTAAATTACTCCATTATTATTTCTAAATTATTCAATTATTATCTTTGACAACCAATAGGCTTATACCAACATAAGGTATTACAGAAGAATCATTGTCCTTTAAATAAGTGCATGGAAAGCTTACCAAAAAAAAAATCTGCTTTTGGATTTGGCAAAGAAAGGGGCTGCCTTCCACAGCGTGTGAGTCTCTGCGCTGGGCTGTGAGCAGCAGAGCAAGCAAAGCGGTGCCCAACTGGGCCTAAGAAGGGGTGAAATGAGGCCACGTTTGCTTCTCTATTTTCAGCTAAATATTGTGAAGCACGGCTGGGCAAACCTGGTATTATATTTAAAAAGACGGCCGGGCAAAAGGATGGATTATTTTTTTCTAATCTGTTGTGATGATGTTTGAGGGGTTTCTCCTTCCCCTTCCCATAGAAAAAAAATATTAATAATAATAAAAAATACAGATAAACCCTGTCCCTTCTGGGACATTCTCAAGTCACTACTTGGCCTTACTTTTCCCCTCAGTGCAGATAAGAGCAGCAGAGGAAACCAAGACACCTTGAGTGCTTGGGGCGGAAGCCACAT